AAATCACTACCTTGGTGCAAGGGTTCTGTTTGGGTCTTGAAACTGTCCTCTTGAACCTATGTAGAGCTCAAACCTGTGCCTGAAGATAGCCCTCACTAAACAATTTGTTGAAATAATTTATTATTGTAACTGACTAAATCTAGATAATTAGAAGTTTCCTGGTGTATGGAGAGGAAGAGTTTCTTAGAGCTATAGGTGCCTGAAAGAGACCTGGTGGCTCAGTGGGTTGAGCACTGTTGTTGTTAAGTGTCAAGTCAGTTCTGACCCATAGTGTTCCTGTATAGTTTCCAAGGAGCTGCTGGTGAGCTTGAACCTCTGACCTTATGGTTCAAACTGACTTTGCAGTCCAGTGCATTAACCCGCAATGCCACACCAGGGCTGAACACTAGTTGGTTCAAACCCAGCAGCTGTTCTGCAGGAGAAAAGATGTGACAATCTGCTTCCTTAAAGATATGGTGGTGGTTATGTGCCATGGAGTGGGTTCTGACTCGTAGCGACAGAAATCCTGCTGTGGTGGTTGTTCTTAAGAGCTGTTGAGTTGGTTCTAACTCATAGCGATCTGTATAGGGTTTCCCAGGAGTGGCAGGTGGGTTATCAGTCCAGTATTGATCCTACAGTGCCACAAAAACTCTATGAAGCAGTTCTATTCTGTCCCATAGACTCCTATGAGTCAGAATTGACTTGACCACAGTGGAGCATTATGTACCTGGGGAACCCTGGTGACACAGTGCTAAGTGCTCAGCTGCTAACCAGAAGATTGATGGTTTGAACCCACCAGCCGCTCCACAGGAGCAAGATAAGGTAGTATATACTTCTGTAAAAATGCATCTTGGAAACTGTGGGGATGGTTCTACTCGGACCTATAGTCCCTCTAAGTCACAATCAACTCAGTAACAGATTTGTTTCTTGGCTGTGGTGCTATGGGTTAATGCTCTGGACTGCAAGGTCTGTTTGAACCACAAGATCGGCGGTTCAAGTTCACCAGCCACTCTTTGGAAACCCTATACAGGGTCACTATGAGTCAGAACGGACTTGACGGTAGTTAGTAACAACAAGGAGCTCTGGTAGCATAGTAGGTATGAGTTGGGCTGTTAACCTCAAGGTCAGCAGTTCAAAACTACCAGCTGTTTCATGGGAGAAAGATGAGGCTTCCTGGTCCCGTAAAGATTTAGTTAGAACTGACACCATGGCACATCCCTACCACCACCACCAGTAGGATAAGTATAGGACTTGGCGATCTGAACCCACCAGCTACTCCACAGGAGAAAGATGAGACTTTCTGATTCTGCAAAGGTATGGCGTCCTGATGTAGTGCTATAGGATAAGCACTGGCCTGTTAACCACAAGGTTGGTGATTCAAACCTACCAGTTGTTCCTTGGGAACTATATAGGTTGCTATGAGTTGGAACTGACACAATGGCCTTAACAACAATCTATGTTGTATAGGAGTCCTGGTATAGCACTGTCGGATAAGCACTGGACTGCTAACTGAAAGGCTGACAGTTCAATCCCACTAGCTGTTCCTTGGAAACCCTACAGGGTCACTGAGTCAGAATCAACCAGCACTTAAGGACAACAGATTTATGTTTTATAAGCAGTCCTAGTGACTCTGGTAGCATAGTGGTTATGAATCGGGCTGCTAACTTCAGGGTCAGCAGTTTGAAACTACCAGCTGTTCCGAGAGAGAAAGATGAGGTTTTCTGTTCCCGTAAAGATTTACAGCCTCAGAAACCCTGTGCAGGGTTGATATGCGTCAGAAACGACGCCACGGCACATAACAACAGTGGCATTGTAGGTTAGGTACAAACCGCTGGGGTATTTGCTTCATATGTTAACACTTAAATCTTCCAATCAATCCTCTGATCAAATCTATATTTCAGATGAGGGAACTAAGTTAAATGACTTATTGAAGTTAGATAGGTGGAGGATAGAGTTCAGACTAACATTTGTCTGTAGAACGCATTATTCTTTTCATCACATCCCATTGCAGCCTGAAAGTTTCTTTTTTCTTCATCTGAAAAATGATTCAGCACCAGTAGCATTCACTGACCATGGCAAAACTTTAATTGATCTTTCTGTACCATAGCCTACTGATTAGCCATGAGGAATAGCAACAGTTAAAACTCGCTACCTTTAATTAAGTCTCAGTTCCCTTAACAACTCCACCATGTAATTAAACGTACTTCTCAAACAGGGAGATATGGTTCACTAAAGAATCTGAGAAGACTTATTTAAACTGTGCTCAGCTACTTGCTCTGGGTTCACCATGGTCAAGTCTGGACTTGGAACTGAAGTTTTGAAGGAATGTAGAGAATGCTGCCTGCCCAGAATTACCAGACTGAAGCTATGCGGGAGTCAGGCTATATTTCCTATAAAGCTTCTAACTTAGCTCTGCTCAGGGTTTTCCTTGACAAAGGAAGGTGTCGGGTAAAAATGCAGGTTGCTGAATATTTATCTTTTCTTGGAGATACAGCAGTGATTTAGGCAACAAATCTTAAATCTGTATTTATCGTCTGAAATGGAAACTGTTTCTTTTTGAGAGGTGGGCCCACACTAACAGTATTTGGAAATAAGATGTCAGCTATTGTTAGGGCATTTTGTGGCTGTATCATGAAGAAATTGGACTTACATCACAAATTGTGTATGGACTGCATTTTTTCCCCAGCCCAGATAAGATTTGGCATAGCATACACACTAAAAATGTTTAGCATTAAATAGTTAAACTATACACTGTGATGTAATGCAGAATAACAAGATTCAGAATTTTCATGAGCCGACAAAACTCTAGGTATAATTATAACTGCCAGTCAAATGTAAAACTATTATAGTGGTAACCCAAAGTTGCTTTGACTTGTTGTTGTGAAGTGCTGCCGAGTCGGTTCCGACCCATAGAGACCCTGTATAGGGTTTTTGAGGAGCAGCTTGTGAGCTTGAACCAATGACCTTGCAGTTCAAATGGCTTTGCAGTCTGGCCCGTTAACCCACAGTGCCTCACCAGGACTCCTGCTTTGACTTAAAGGTCATTAAATAAAAAGATCATAAGAAGGATAGGTTGGGTCCAGGCACCAAAATAAGATGCCAATGCATTGTCAAAGAATAAATACCAACACTCTCCCCCACCACTTAGGTCAGAAAAAAAAACAAGAACATCCAAAAGTATTTTCTGTGTTCAAAGTCCACAGGAAGTAAGAGTCCAAGTGTCATATTAAAAAGAACAGCGCATTTATCTGGTCTCACAATTGTTACTTAGTACACAGAAAACACAGTACTGTACAACCTCTTCAGAGAGCTGGTCAGAGTCCAGATGTTGGAGATTACCATCTCCTGGATGCAATGGAATTTATGCCAGGAGATTAGAGAAGAATTAATTTATTGCTTTCTCTACCTGTTTGCAATATGAGCTCAGCTTATTATCTGCACACATTGCGATGCATGGTAATTACAGCGCTCAAAATAATATATAACACGTGACCGCTGTTGTTAAGTTTAAAAGGGGACATTTGTCATTTTTTTAAAAATCAGAACATCTGGTTGTTTATTTGCCGAATGATTAATATAGAAACATACTATAGTGGAATCCTTTTATATCAAAGTTTTATTTACCAGGAAATCAAACACTTTCCCCACACCTCTCTCCCCACCTCCCCCGCACATTTTAGGACAGCAATCTGAAATCTACAATACTAGAGGTTCATTTCGCACTGCAGTTGAAGTACTGGACTGCTAGCCTCAAGGTCGGTGGTTCAAACCCACCAGTCACTCCCTGGAGGTCCTATACCCACCAGTCACTCCCTGGAGGTCCTATACCCACCAGTCACTCCCTGGAGGTCATTATCAGTCAGAACTGACTCCAGAGCACTTTAACAAGCACAACAAAAGAGTTCAATTGAGTAAGAAAAGGAAATCTGCTCTTGTCTTTGTTACATTCTCTAAGTTTTGTGGTCACAACTGGTATATGCATCCTGTATTTTAAAAGCACAGCTACAGGGTAGAGTGCCTTGGGCTTATTCTGTGAGCAAGTGAGGTATCCGATAGTCCAAATGGTTAAAAGCACAGAAATGAAATTCTAAATTTTAAACTCCCTTTTATTGAAATATAAGTTTGTTTAGTATATTTACACCACACTTTATGCACATATATACACAGAAGGCAAATTCCGTCAAATAAAAAAAGTCTTAATAAAAAATGAAAATAAAAACAAAGTAAAGTGCACGAAATAATTTTTTTTTTTTCTGGTGAACATCATCATTGTCAATATTTTGGTCGGTTTTGAGTGGGCGGAAGGAGTACATAAATTCACTCAGAGCATACAGCTGGTTTTGCACTGAGTAACCTGCAGGCTAAAGTGACCAGGGGTTAAAAACAAGTCAGGAAGATATCAGGGTCTGCAGAACTCCCAGGGGTCTGGAGGTCCTGCCCTCTTTGTCCTATCAGGAGACGTTTGTCCCCCTGCTCTTAACAGTGATCTCACCATCGCGGTGCTGGAACAAAGGGAGAACACAGGAAGGGGGCTCCACCAGCCAATGCCACAGCCCTGCTCCAGGGCCACTGACGATACCTTTTGTAGGAAATTTTCAGAATTAGCTCAAGGGCTCATATGGAAATTTTCCTTTTTCCAAAGGGTACTGAAGGGGCCCAGGAATGGGGTGTAATACACTCCCATAAAGTGGGCCAGCCGGGAACAAAAACTCAGCAGCCAGTGTCTTCCTATCTCACACTCCTTGTTAGCACAGGGGACAAAATCAGTGTAAAGGCTGGCTGAAAGGAAGGTGACACTTCTCGCCTCGGTGAGTTCGTCCTCCCAGAACTTTGAAAGGAACCAAGGTGGGGTTGAGAGAAAGGGGCAGGTGGATGAAACTGAAGTTTCAAAAACGCCTCCTCACTCTGGCTACCAGCTGGGCGTTGGCTGGCTGGTCCCAAGGGGATGGCAGAGGCGACGGCCCTTCCCCCATCCTCTATCACCGAGTCCGGTTTTTCTCTTTTTCCCTCTCCTGGTGACGCTAAGTCCCCAGTCGGCGGCCGTACTTGGCTTTACAGTGCAAAATGTGCTTGGCGAGGAAATCTAGGCGGCGTTGCAGCAGCTGAGCATGGGGGTCAGCAAGCGCCGCCAGCTCCGGGAAGCTAGGCTCGTGGCGCCGGTAGAGGCGTAGCAGCCGGGCCGTGGCGTCCTGGCCACGGTGCAGCTCCAAGACTCGCCTCGCTGTCCGCTCTCGGAACACGCACACGGATTGCAACAGCGGCTCGTTGTATTTGTCCCACATGCCTGCCACCCGGTAGCCGTGCACCAGACCAGCTTCGTTGTCCAGAAAGACCAGAGCCCCGCCAGGGCCGCGGTGCAGGTTGCTGGTGGCGCGCTGCATGACGCGCGGGTCCCATTGCAGGCTGAAAAGGTTGCTGACAAGCCGGTCGAAGTTGGCTGTCAGGTAATCGAAAAGGATCAAGTCGGTCCATTGCACCAAGTCCACCAACTCCGCTTGGCTGCGGTTGGTCAGTTCGCCCCCGGTGGCGCGCAGAGGTTGCAGACTACCGTCCTCGGAACGCCAAGGCGCGGGCACTACGACGTCCGTGAGGTTGGGTAGCCAGCGCGTCAGGCTCACCACGCTGCCCTCGGTCCAGTGCGCTGCGCGCAGCTCATCTTGCACCTGCGCCCACTGAGCGACTCGCGCCTCCACCCGAGCCAGGGCCAGCGGCGGCACGTGGCGCTGGAGGCCCAGTAGGCACGCCAGGTAGTAGGACAGAGCCTCACCCTGGATTTGTTCAGGGTTGATGCCATAGCGCACGCAGGCGCGGGTACCGTCGGCGAAGCGGGCCAGCCGGTTGGAGCTACGTCCGCAGCCACCGCGCTCCAGGGCCACCACCTGGGCGCTGCGCGCCGCCTCCAACCACACAGCCGCCTGGGCCTCCGAAAAGCCCCGGGGCACCTGTTCCTCCAGACCGCGGCTCCAAAAGACGCCCCCGTGCACCACGGCGATCTCGGCTGACCGGAGCCGTCCCGCTGACACGTGCAGCCTGCGCTCGTCCGGGGGCCGCCGGGGCGGGCCGTCCGCGCCGGCCGCCAGGGTGAGCAGCGCCCGGAAAGTTTTCAGGGAGCCACTACGGGCGTCCCACGGCAAAGGCGGGGGCAGAGGGAAGCGCGGCGCGGGCTCCGGACCACCGCTCCGGCCCGGGCGCCGCGGGAATCGGTCTTTGGGTGGCCCAGAGGCGGGCAGCAGGGTTCGCGGCGGCAGGAGCCCGCCCCACAGCGCCAGCAGAGAGCCCAGCGCCAGAAGCCAGAGCCCCGCGGTGGCGGCAGCGCCCCGCATCCTCCTGCCCATGCTCCCACGGCCGTGCCGGTACCGCCGCCGCTTCAAACCAAGCCCGGGAGCCCGGGTCCCGGCGGCGAGGCGGGCCCGGCTGCTTGTTGGCTCTGGGGCTTCAAGCGCCTCATCCCCATCGCGGCCTCGGAGCGCTGCGGGGCTCAGCCCGGCGCTGGGAAATCGCCCCGCCGCCGCTTCCCAGCTGCTTTTGTATTTCGCTGTGAGACCCTCCGGCCGGCGCGATTCACAGGCGCCCGGACCACGTGGGAGCGAGGGGTACCCCCCTCCCCCTCCTCCGTCGCTGCTCCCCGCCCCCCGCTCGCCCGCCCCCTTCCTCTCCTCTTCCCCTTAAAGCGGCGATGGCTCCTTCCGACAGAGCGAAGTGGCCCCACACCCATTCGGGGACTTCGGGGCCTCAAGGACGCTCGGCAGGCGGATCCAGTGCAGGGTCGTCGCCGAGCAGGAGTCTGGGGTCTGGTGGGAAGGTCGCGGCCCTGGTCCTCGTGAGGGTGGGTGGTTACCGTGTCCCTTTGCCAGGGCGGCGGCACCTGACCTCCTGAGAACTTCAGACAGCCTCTAACCGCGCAAGACTCTGGGAGAGTCCCTTCGCTTTCTCAGTTTCTATCCAGTGTGATTCACGCTGCCGGATGTAAGTCCCCGAGAATCTCTCGGAGCCGCGGACGCTGTGACTCCAGCGGGAGGAATCGTCTGTATCAGACAACTTGAAACCGACCTCTCCTCGCCTTCCCGCGCTGTCATCACTCTCAGTAGTCACTGCAGACTCGGGGACTGTAAGGGTGACAGGATGATCCGCTGGTCCCAAGCAACTCTCCAGAAATTAAACCTCCGTGTGCACGGAGTACACCTAGGCCCACTCCCAAGCATGCGTTAATTTTTTCACGGAGCGGTGAAATCCCAAGCTAGTTTCTTACTGCTGAGACGTTCACAGAGTGCGCTGTGTGTGGGGGGGGGGGGGGGGGAAGGGGCGGTTAGGGACCGTTTTTCTAAAGAAACATGTTTTGCCCAGAGGAAACTGAGGCACAGAAAAGGACTGGCGCTTGCCACCTAGCAAGTGGAGAAGCTCAAATTCGAACTCGTGTGTACTGACATGCAGACCACTTGATTTTCTTTCCACCTCGAGAAGTGCAATACATTATCAAGTCGTCAATTTTCTTCGTTTTTAAAATTTATTGTCAATTTGCCAGCCACTTTATTCTCAAAATCGTATTTTTCAATTAAGGAAACACACAGACACACACACACACACACCTCCCCCCTTCCCCATGCTTCTATAGCATTTTACTTACTAATTTAGTGGAAAAAGAATGGGACAGGAGGATCAAGAACGTATAATACCTCTTTTCGATTACTTTTGTGTTTAAGACACCAGGAAAACTCTTGGACGAGTTTCCCCCTCTGCATCCAGAGTGTGTCCCAGATTCAAACCGGGATTCCCATCAACTCTGCTAAACAAATGTCAGGGGAGGGGGGAGAACCCGCCTCCGGAGAGCCAGAGTTTGACAGCTCTTTCCTTACACGTGTTCCTTTTTTCTCTCCTGCCTCCCTCCCCTCTCCCCCAGGTGCACTTGCAGGTTTTCAGCTGCACTTGCTCATCAGCCAGCACTGATTATATTTTATTCTCCAAAGGCTGAATTCTCAGCAGTTAGGGAGTAGATATCCTAATGCTTGCAGATGAGCAGATGCCTTGAATGACCATATTTGGGGCCTTTCAGCACAACCTTTGGTGAATTGGCCCAAGTGTGGGAGGTCTTTGTTAAATCTGTTCCATAACCCACGTTGGCTATTGTCTGACTTTAATAGATTTTATTTGATAATGAGATTACTATGGCTCCCCTATATATACATCAAAACATAATAATTCCTTAAAAATTGTCCACTTTCTGCCCTGTTCATTGTCTTCCTTCATCTTTCCCTAGAGGGCAGAGACTATGTGTTATCAATTTCACCTACGCATCTAACATAGTACATTACGCTAAATAGACTTTCAGTAAATTGAATTTAATTTTTGTCTTTTGGTTTAACTTCTATGGGGATTTTTATTTCTTTCTAAAGCCGCACATTTAGCTTGGGCAAACTATAAGCAAGAGCGCCACCTTGTGGGCATAAGTGGAAGATAAGTAGAGCTCTGTACATTTTTAACTGGAGAATTAAGTCAATTAAATTCTGAGATTATCAGTTATGTCGTGCTGTGGTGGCTTGCGTGTTGTTGTGATGCTGGGAGCTAGCCCATCGGTATTTTGAATGCCAAGGTGGACAGGTTTCAGCAGAGTTTCCAGACTAAGACTCTAAAGAACGAGGAGAGGTGGACTCCTTCCAAATGTTTAGCCACTGAAAACCTTATGAATAGCAGTGAAACACTGTGAGATGGCACCAGGATATTGAATAATGAAACATGGTAAATAGCACCAGAATATTGTCAAATATAATGCCAGAAAATGAGCCCCTCAGGTTGGCAGGAATTCAAAATACTGCTGGGGAAGAGCTGCCTCCTCAAAGTCTCAGAGTTGATTGCTATAATGTGAATGGGGAAAAGCCCTCGGGACCTTCATTTGCTGATGGGGCACAACTCAAAATGAGAAACAGCTGCAAACATCCATTAATAATTGGAACAGGAAATGTACAGAGTATAATCTAGGAAAATTGGAAGTTGTCAAAAATTAAATGGAGTACATAAAGATCGATATTCTAGGCATTGCTGAGCTGAGATGGATTGGTATTGGCCATTTTGAATCAGGCAATCACACGGTTTACTATGCTGGAAATGACAAATTGAAGAGGAATGGCAGATTCATAATCAAAAAGAACTTTTCAAGATCTTGAAGTATTATGCTGTCTGTGATAGGATACTATCCATAGGCCTACAAGGAAGACCAGGTAATACCATTATTATTAAAATTTATGCACCAAGCACTAAAGCCAGTGAGGATGAAATTGGAGAATTCTACCAACTGACTCCTCGGCACTTAACAACAACAACAACCAACTTCTATAGTCTGAAATTGATCAAACATGCAATCAAGATGCATTGATACTTACTGGTGATTGGAATGCAAATGTTAGAAAAAAGAAGGAGGATCAATAGTTGCAAGCTATGGCCTTGGTGACAGAAACAATGCTGGAGAATGCATGATAGAATTTTGCAAACCCAATGACTTCATTGCAAATACTTTTTTTTAAAGCAACATAAAAGATGAGTACACACACAGAAATCAATTAACTACATCTTTGGAAAGAGACGGTGGAAAAACTCCATATCATCAGCAAAAACAAGGCCAGGGGCAGACTGTGGAACAGATCATCAATGGCTCATATGCAACTTTAGGCTGAAGCTGAAAAAAATTAAAACAAGTCCACAAGAGCCAAAATACAACCTTGAACATATCCCACCTGAATTTAGAGATATCTGAAGAACAGATTTGATACATTAGATGCTAATGACTGAAAATCAGAAGATTGAGGGATAATATCAAGACCATCACACAGGAAGAAAGCAAAAGGTCATTAAGAAGACAAGAAAGAAAAGACCAAAGTGAATGTCAGAAGATACTCTGAAGCTTGCTCTCCTGTGTAGAGATGCTAAAGCAAATGGAAGAAATGAGGAGGTCCAAGAGCTGAACTCAAAATTTCAAAGATCAGCTCGAGAAGATAAAGCCAAATATTATATTGAAATGTACAAAGATCAGGAGTTAGAAAACCAAAAGGGAAGAACATGCTCTGCATTTCTCAAACTGAAATAACTGAGGAAAAAATTCAAGCCTCAACTACAATACAATTTTTGGGCAAAATATTGAATGATACAGAAAGCATCAAAGGAAAGTGAAAGGAATACAGAGTCACTATACCAAAAAAGAAATGGTTTATGTTCAGCAATTTCAAGAGGTAGCTTAAGATCAAGAGCCAATGGTACTGATGGACGAAGCCTATTACGCACTGAAGACATCAGTAAAGAACAAGGTTCCAGGAACTGATGGAATACAAATTGAAAATTTTCAACAAACTGAGTCAACACTGGAGGCACTCACTCATATATGCCAAGAAATTTGGAAGGCAACTACCTGGTCAACTGATTGGAAGAGATCCATATTTGTGCCCATTCCAAAGAGAGGTGACCCAATGGAATATGGAAATCATTGGACAGTATCATTAATATCACATACAAGTAAAATTTTGCTAAAGATAATTTTTAAATGGCTACAACAGTACAGTGACAGGGAACTGTCAGTAATTCAAGCCAGATTCAGACAAGGATGTTGAATGAGGGCTATCACTGTTGACATCAGATGGATTTTGACTGAAAGCAAAAAATACCAGAAAGATGTTTCCCTGTGCTTTATTTATTTATTTTGAACTTTTTACTGTGAATTGAGTGATAGTTTACATGGGAGAATATCAGTTTTACACTCATTGTTTCATTGCAAAGATTACAGTCTCCTCTGTGCATCATTATTCAACAGTATTTGCTTCTATTCCCTCTGTGTTTTTCTTTTTTTTATTTGATGTACGCAAAAACACTCAGGAATATACAATCATTTAAACAACCAAAGGACACATTCTGCAAGCCTGTCTCCTGGCCACCAGCACACAGCCTTTCTCTTTACATGAGTCCAGAGTCCCCAGCTACTCTATCTCTCCAGGTCATTGTGTCTTGCCTCCATCTCTGGTGGTGTTGCTTCTTTAGATAGGGTCCCACATTCCACTTGTGCTCTTCTCCCTTGATGATCCTAGCGTTACCTGTGCTTTATTGACTACGCAAAGGCTTTTGTCTATGTGGATCATGGCAAGCTATGGGCAGCACTGCAGAGAATGAGTATTCCTAAAACACTTAATTGTGTTAATGAGGAACTTGTACATAGGCCAAGAGGCAGTCGTTCAAACAGAACAAGGGGACAATGAATGGTTTTAGATCAGGAAAGGTATGTGCTAGGGTTGTATTCTTTCACCATATTTATTCAGTCTGTATGCTGAGCAAGTAATCTGAGAAGCTGGATTATAGAAGAAGGGCATGGCATCAGAATTGGAGGAAGACATATTACAACCTGCGATATGCAGATAATACAACCTTGCTTGCTGAAAGTGAAGAGGACTTAAAATACTTACTGATGAAGATCCAAGAGCACAGCCTTCGGTATGGATTGCATCTCTATGTCAAGAAAACACAAATCCTCACCACTGGGCCAATAAATGACCTCATGATA